TACCTTCAATTGCATACCTATGATTAATGCATTTCAGCTTTTAATTAGTGACACGAGAAGAAAAAATATTCTACCAAGCACTTCTGAGATGCATTTCGATACTTCCTTTCTCCTCAATCAGTCCCTACAGAGGAAATGGAAATTGAAAGAATTAAGCCAGCACAAAGTATCTGTATGATAGCATAGTTGTGAGACACAAAAAGTCTTGAGTTTCACCAGCTGTTTCGTATCGAGTGGCCAGAATTTTCAAAATGCTGGACTGCGAAGTATTATAGGTACTGATGTGACTGTTCGAACGATGTTAATTCAGCAACCGCAGAAGCCAGGAAATAAAAATTTTGCTAAACATAATTCCCAGTTTAAAATACAAATAAAGCCACAAGCTAGGAATCAAATTCCACTGCATCCTCAGCTTGCAATCACAAACAGAATCACACTTCTGTAAGCAAAGAGCAAACAAAGCTTTGAGCTAGAAACTTTAATTCGGCGCTGCACGGTAAATGGTCTGAAACCGGTTTTCAGAAGACTTCATTTAAAATAAAACTTAATATTTCAAATTTGGAAAGAAGCAAGTCAGAGGCTTATTTTCCCAGCGGCTCATATAAGTTATTCTGTTACATGCATGACTTGGGCCACTTCAGTGACAGGTGCTAAAAGTATAATCGAAAGTTCCAAGAAGAAAACTATAGGGTAACGAACGCCGATCACTTTTGCGATCCGCTGCACTTAACAAATTACAGACTGACCGAATACAATTGCCGAATTGGCAAGCAGGACGACTGGATAAGGTTCCCGAAGTGACAGCTTTTACCACTCAACAACAAGCTGCACAGCAGAACGGTGGGCTGAAATTCATTGGGCCAATCGGTGTTGGTTTTGGCGTTGGTGTTGGTGCACCATTCGATCCAGTGAGCGTTGGTGCTAGGGTACGTTTTTCATTCACACTTGCTTTTGTTAAAAATTTGGCATTTCAATATCTGAGTAGCAAGCATTGCTAAATTTTCCATCATACGTGATGCATCCAGTCAAATATCTGTACTAGCTCCTGATTACTTGATTTTATACGTTTTTGCTGTGTAGCGCTGTAGTGCTTGTAAAAACTCGTTTTTTCAAGAAGTTGTGTGTATCTGTATATATATAT